GGGGGGGGGGGGGGGGGGGGGGGGGGGTGGCATCGAAGAGAAAAGGGTTGGGTAAACAAAATTTTGAGTGAGTAAAAGGTTGGGTGAATGAAAAACAAAACAACTCAAGGGTTGGGTAATAAAAATTTATTGTCATTTCCAAAGCATGACTCACTCGAATATTGAAGACTAAAAGCAATGTCAACAGTCATATGTCAATACAATATGTAAATCAATCAGAGTCACTATCTTGATCATTTTCCGATTTGTCAGGAGGCAAATGGTATCTCGAAAGAAAGTACATGAGCAGACAACATGAAACTTTAGACTGCAGAAAATTGCACAAGCAATTGTAAATTTAATGTCACAGAAGTGGTAAAGGACATGTGTGACAACTAAATGGTATCCGATTGCAACGTTTTTAGCCAGGGGTGGGTATTTATTTTTTAATTGATATTTGAGGTTGGGTAAATTTTTTTTTACTTTTTAATGGTTGGATCAGCAACATTTTTACCAAAAAAAACATCTTCGGTGGCACCCCCACCCCCTTAAAGGGTGGCGGTAATTGAAGCCCGTCTTTGTAGGTATGCCATAGGCAGACAAACTCTCTTTGGAGAAGGGTAATGGTTTTACCATTACGCCAAAGCCCACTTGGTAAGATGGTCTTGCAAACCCCGAAAAGGCGTATGGTTATTTGCCTCTGTATACCTTTTCGACATATCCCAAACTCGAATGCTTTTGTCCTCAGAGTTGCTCAAGATAAGTTCCTGCCTTGGATGGAATAACGTACAGGAGACGTTGTTGTAGTGACCACGACACGTGTCGACCTCCCAAGCTTTCGAGTCTAAAACAACATCATACAAAATTTCTTATTCTACATAATGTCAGTATAGGTAGACGAACTTGTGTCTGCAGTTGATCTAGCCTCATCTGTAAGGAGGGGTGCAGGTTTTCCATGGGGTGGTGCATGAGGAAGCCTTGCTGCCCACTCTCCTCTGCAGTTTGCAACGCTACTATCCCAACATTACCATTATTTGAGATGGCCGAATCTGCATGTTCGCCGTTCTGTTACGTTTTACATTATCTAAGTTTATATCGGCTTTTTATCACGTATGCGTAACTGGACAGTTGCTGTAACACAGTACAGTAGATTTACTTGTGAAAGTACAGTAAATTCGAAAATATGGCTGTATAACAACCTAGACGTGTTTACATATTTATTGTAATCATGGTATTTAACTAACGCATTCTGAGTATTTTCTCGTGAGCTCACAAATCAATTAAATCGCTTCAAGACATCGACACGCGCTAACAGTAGAAGTTCCGCTAATCACTATTCGAAAAGCAGAAAATGTATGGTGAAGCAGATTTTTTTAGGGTGGTGCTGGACTTCTCTATGGGAGTGCTAGACACCACTAGGTGGGGTGCCGCGGGGCGCAACATACGCAGCTCAGTATAGCGTATTATTCAGTAATCATGTATAGAAATATTTAATAGACTATCATCATTGCTGCAATAGACGTAACCAAGATACAAGATAATGTCCATCTTCTATGAGGTGCATTGGTCGAGTATTTCAATGTACACTACGGTACCGTAATAATTCAGTACAATATAAAGTTCACGATTTGAAACTAGAGGATTAACTATTAATGCACAAAATCTTCCCCATGACAAATACAATCTATTGGGGGTAGACAGATTAAATGGATTCACTGGTACTCAATGGATTAAAGAGCTATATTGGAAGATAATTTGATTAACCAATAATGCGCACAAGGCTCTCTTATTGATGAGTAAAATCGTTTGGCCTTAGACGGAGCAAATTTAAATTAGTATAGGAATGCATCGGGGCACACTAACGCAGCTTAAAAAGTTCAATACAGTTTTCTAAGTGCTATTTAAAACATTGACGCGAATGTTGTAAATGGCTTGTGAACGTCTTGATGAGAACATTCGTATTCTTCAACAATTTAATATAAAAGAACGATATGTGGTGAGAAAATTGAACTTAAAGTTTATGTAAATCAGCATGATTTCTGTATCAGATATACAAACTCCTTCACACTGATGATTTCTTTCGTGTTTTCTTCATGAATTATTATGAATTTCACAAAAACAATATAAAACATATACACATTGGTTAGAGCGCTGCACCGGAATCACAGGGCCGTAGGTTCAATTCCTACCAGAGGACCTTGTGCTGCATTTTTCGCAGTCGTTCCTGGTCAGGTCTTAAAATGTATACTGTATATATACTCACTTGGATTACAAACCCTAAGAACAGCATTCAAATATTAATACCACCAAGTGAAGTGCAAGAAACCAGATCATTGAAGCCCACCATAAAAACATAAAGCCTGGTTCTCATATAGTCGTAAGACTTGTAACGGTCGTAAAGATTGAGTCACGATCTTCCTCGTCAGCCGAAATAACAACATTTTAGAACTGAAAATACGCGGAGTGATTAGAACTAGAGAATACTTATGATTTATATGTGGTTTACAGGTATAAACTATTATAAACTGGCCGTTGAGAAAGATCGTGACTCTATTTTGGCGACCATTACCACGATATGGAAACCACGCTTACGATGGGGTTAAGACATTTCAAAGCGCTTTAAAGTTCCATTACCATTCATTCTCCACAACTTGACTTGTCTATCATCAGCAGCCGATACAAGCAGAGGCATCGTTGGATGAAATGAAACCCAGTTTACGCCACGATCATGACCCTAAACACGGAGACAAATAATATTAATAAGAGAATACACGCTTTCAGAATGGACAACTTGCATGTTAGACTAAATGTTAATCTAAGTATTAAACGAGAAGGGAATCAAACACCACAGCTAAAAAGAACATAATGAAATTAGAACAATTGCAAAATTTGCTTGCGAAATGTTGTAAAGCTTGGAAAATATAGCCTTGCAAAGTTTGCAAATTTTGTATATATTTGTATTACGTACGGAAATAGTTACCATTTTCGGCTAAAAAATGGTAACAAATTCAGTACGTAATACAAACATATACAAAATATGCAAACTTCGCAAGGCTATATTTTCCAAGCTTTACAACGTTTCGCAACCAAATTTTGCAATTTTACTAATTTTAATAAGTTCTTTACGGGAACTTCCTTTTTTGCACAGATCAAAAATTAATCCAAGATGCAAGTTGTCTATTGAATATTAAAGGTGTATTATAACCAGGGCTGTAACTTCGGTATTACGGCGGGGGGGGGGGGGGGGGGGGGGGGG